CTAACTTGTTTCTAGAATTTTGCTTCTAATCCTGGAAGTTGAAGGACAAAGTATGAGTTTTCTAGAACACGTAAAAAAGAGATTTTAGCTTATTAATGGATAGATCGCGAACCTTTGTATATTCTTATCTATCTAGAAATTCGCATACGGCTAGTATTTCTTCTCGGTAAGTAATCATAGTGTACAGATCTGTAATATCAAACGCGTACATATTTGTTTCGCACGTTGTCTTAAAATTTTTCAGATATTTGAGAAAAATTATTGAGTTGGAAAGGAAATACGAAGTATGCTTGTCGAACAGATGTCGGATGTATTGATCCCAAAAAGCGGACAGTTTTTCTAATGAGGATCTTGTTCTACTAACTATAGGTCTGAGTGGGTTTGAGTGTTGGTGTGGGTCTTATCTTCATGCACACCTAAGCCTAACAACATCTATCTGCATCCACTACAATCTACCCACACGCACACCTACGCTCTAAGAATATTGAAGTATTTTATGTAAACAACCATGAACGCTAAATAATATTGATTGAAGTGACAAATGAATGTACAGATAAGAGTTGAATGACATGTCAGTTTCACGTGACTATTGTACTGATGAGGTACAGTACTAAGCGAACGACAATGCTACAGAACATCATTAAACGCGTACCTAAAGAAGGCTATGCGAAGTTCTATAAATTCTCCTTTGTAACATTTGAATGTTTCATACCTTTTCATCCCTCTCAACACAAATCATTTTTTTTATGTTCCTGATTTAATCAGGTTGGATTGATGACAATGAACGTAATTGCATATCAGTCGTAAGCAATTTCAACTTATTTATCATCAGTACTCCATATGTGTTCGATTCGCCTGACTGTTTTCATCAATTATTAAGGATTCATGCCTGCCAGATATTTATAGATAAACAAAATCAATGATAAAAAGAAATCTACCAGCAACTTTCCATGTCACCTCTTTTTTATCATATGCGTTGCAGTTACGCGCAGAGTCAATTCTGCGTTGCAGTTGCGCATAATTGCAGCGCATTGATCGCAATGACAATTTCTGTCAGAAACTACCGTTACTGCGGTGCAGATCAGCGTAACTGCGTCGCAGTAATCATATCGTACCATTCATTGTCTCTGAGACCGACCAATTATGATTAATTCCTCCTTATTTCTAATTGGTGACTCTCCAGCAGTGAAAGTTAGTCACACAAAGACTGTATAAAAAAGCACTGTCCATTAGACTTGGGCTCATAACTCATGCTGCCGGAGAAAAGAGAAGATAAAGGGTGTCCCAGAAATTCTGAAGTAAATTTAAAATGCATCGTTCTCGCATTTGACAAAAGCAAACTGTTTGAAACTTTGGCAGATTATTGTGCATGCTTGGTACTAAATAACTACAAAGTTTCAGATATATAACTTGTATTATGGATGAGAACCAGTAATAACACTATCATGTACTACTTTTTCAATTTTTCTATCTTTTGGATTTGCAACATTTTTTTTATTTTGCCTATATCTCGGCATTGGTAGATGATAAAATCTTGAACTTTTTTTTGAAAGATGCGCCATGAAAAGCTCTACAAAAATTTTAAAACTTAATTCCTATTGGCTTGTGTTAATGGTTTCTATCATAGTCAAAATGAAAAACCTACATGATAGTAGTACTTCTTACCATGCTGTGCGTAATAAATAAATGTTTGGATGACCTTTTTATTTTGCTTGTATCTCAGCTTGAGAAAACGAAAACACATTGATTTTTTTTCAAAAGATGCGCTGTCGAAAGCTCTACCAAAGTTGTAGAAACAAGTTCCTATTGAAAGACAAAAAAAGTCTTCCAAAAATTTATTTATTACGCACAGCATGGTGAGAAGTACTACTATCATGTAGGTTTTTTTTATATTGAGTATAGTGGAAACCATTAAAACAAGTTAATAGAAATTAGTTATTACAATTTTTGTAGAGCTTTTCATGGCGCATCTTTTAAAAAAATCTAAGATTTCATCATCTACTTATGCCCAGATATAGGCAAAATAAAAAAAATGTGGCAAACATTTTGGCACACCCGGAAGATGATCAGGAAAATTGGAAAAATAGCACATCATAATGTTATTACTGGTTCTCATCCATAGTACAAGTTATATACCTGAAACTTTGTAGTTATTTAGTACTAAGCATGCATAATAATCTGCCAAAGTTTCAAACAGTTTACTTTTGTCAAATGCGAGAACGATGCATTTTAAATTTACTTCAGAATTTCAGGGACACCCTTTATATTTCGAAAAGATGTTTTCGCCTTTTTTTCTAAATTTTCAAGTTTTTTCAAAGAGTTTCATTCTTTTAGATTTTTATTTTTTTTATCTCTCTTTTTTTTAATTCTTCTACTTTTTGGAACCTTTTTAATTTTGTTAATTTTTTTGTAAATTTTTATTGTACAAATTCTTGTTTTTAATTTTTTATGAAAATTTTTCATTCCCAATAAAAATATTAATAAAATGAAAACTTTATGGATGCCATGTCTTTTAGCAGATGCGATGCAGTTACACCTTAACTATGATCGCACTGTGGTCTGTAATAGCGAAAAATTGCGACGCAGTTGCGCGTAACAGCAATGAGAAATCACAGTTACGCATGACTGCGTCGCAGTTTGACCGCAGTCAAACACATGGGTTGAAATCATATTTTAGTGATGAGACGTGTGAAAATATCTTTTTTTCTTGTCAACTGCCAAGAGAGTGCATAAATTTTTCGTTTCTTATGTACGAATTGAAAACGCGACGATTGGTAAGAGCAAGTATGAAATGTGAAACTTTCTTCTTTTTTTTAGAACGAATTACGAAGTAGAAGTAGATTGAATTTACTGAAAATATGTTGTTTTCCATGCTTCTTTTATTAGAACTGGGACAAACTAGTTTTTTATTGATGAAGAAATGTGTGTAATCTTGAAATTCGAGTCAATATCAACTAATCAAAACAAATTCTATATAGTGTAGTTTTAAATGATTTATTTTTGTTTTACCATATATATAGAAGAGTTTTCGATCCTAGAAAATCCTTTTCAATTTATACCAAGACAAACAAGAAAAATAGAGAATTCCCGTATTTACGATAAAACAAACTAAATCATTTAAAAATTACACTACATGGAATTTGTTTTCATTAATTGATATTAACTCAAATCTCAAGATTCTACAGATTTCTTCATACATTATTACAAAACTAAAGTAGAACATAAAGCTTGAGTGTTACATTGTTTAGGTAAAATCGGCATTTGGATTAAATTTTAGTATTGCTCATGGTCTATTGTATTTTACAATGTTTATGATAAGTACAAAAATTTGTATACAAGATTCTTTAGGTTATGATGTCTACGATTATGCTATATATATATTTAAATACTTCATCACTGTTCTCTATTTTTCTTGTTTGTCTCGGTATATGTTGAAAATGATCGTATAAGACCAAAAACTCTCGTATATACGATAAAACAAAAATAAATCATTTAAAACTTTACTAAATAGAATTTGTTTTCAGCAATTCATAGTTTTTTATTCTTTCTTCTATTTCTTATGGGACATATAAAGTTAATGTGATTGTAAAGTGCGAAAAATTGATCTTAGTATCATTTACGCACTAGATGCATTTTTTTGTTTACTACGTTTTATTTCGGGTTTTTCAAAGAGTTGATGACGAAAAATGTGCACTGAGTTTACTGATTTACTGATTGATTTATTTTCTGACTCACAAGAAAGTTATCGATTTACTTTTTTCAGTCCTAATGTAATGTTACTGTAAGAAAATACATAGGTATGAAAGTATGTGTTTGATGGTATCTGTGATATAAATTATCTGACACTGAATCATTATGCCCATCTGTGTAGTGAAATATTTTTATGTATACTAAACGAACTTTTAAAAATGAATATTTATATCTTTCTCATTCACGCGGAGTAATTGTTTTATTTGATGTTACATATGAAATGCTGACGCTTAACAGTTTAAAATCTTAAAATAAGTCATTCTGAATATTTCGTTTGCTGCTAACTAGTAGATATCTTATTTCATACTAAGTCACCTTATATATGAGTGTGAACAGACGTAATTCAGATGATTGTTATAAATATTGTTGTTCAACGTCGTTCGTATCCTTTTGTTATTGTTTCACAAAGTTTAAGTGATAGAGTTTTGTATGCGTTCTGTTTCTTTTTCTTATCGTCACAATTAAATCTTGTTTCGGTTGTTTTTTTTACTACCATAAAGACGGTCAGGAGCGCGTCTGACCGAAGTGGGAACGTGTACCGATATTGATATCACATCCCGATGATCTTCCTTTCCACTCTCTTCTTTATCACCTCTATACTGTTCATGCCTGTACTCATCTGTCTCTCCTATATAAGGTTGTGTTTTAAGTGAAGTCTATTCATCAATCTGATCGTGGCACAGCCCATCCAGGATTTTGATCTAATCCTTCTTGAAATTCTGTGAGGACCTTGAAATTTCAGGGCTACTCATGTTTTCAGGATTTCGTCGTCTTCTCAAGAGAAAAGAGCAAATTCAACCAAGATCCTTATGAGATGTATCAAAGAGGTCCCATGCCAATACCAAAGATTTTCCCTAGGCATCTTATTTGAACTAGGCTGTGATCGACACCAAGAGAAAAAATTTGGACGCACACATCTCTGATAATCTCTGTAGCATTATGAAATAGAAGCAAATAGATATTACTACTCAGCCTTCTTTCAAAAAAACACTTTGTATAATATATCTTGCTAGATTTTAGACTAACAACAAATTTCAATACCTGAAACAATGTGCGATGCTCACAATGTGTATGATATCATTGAACTCATATCAGTTATTGGAGTCCAAAAATCAAAACAGAGAGTCGATCATACTGTTATTAAATCCTTTCTAGCTGGTGTTTTTCTATCTTTCGGCGGCCTGTTCCTCCTGCTGGTTGGTGGTGGAAGTGCTCCACTGGTTCAGAATTTAGGTCCTGGCATACAAAAAATGATCCAAGCTGCCGTATTTCCTATTGGTCTGGTTTTGATTATTATGACTGGTGCTGAGTTATTTACAAGTAATACTATGATATTAATGGTATCAACATTACATAGACAAACAACATTACTTAATCTTATCATTTCATGGGTAATCTCGTACTGCGGAAATCTTGCTGGCTGTTTGTTTTATCAAGGCATATTTGTTTACTATGCAGGTCTTCTCTCTAATGATCCTTATCACTCATTTACTGTTCACATTGCCGAAGTAAAAGGTAATACTCAATGGCATCAAATGTTTCTAAGAGGTATTGGAGGTAATTGGCTGGTATGCCTGGCAGTATGGTTGGCCATCAGTGGACGTGACTTACATTCAAAAATAATTGGTATTTTTCTACCTATCTGGCTTTTTGTAGCTGTTGGATATGAACACTCTATTGCTAATATGTTTACAGTTCAAATGGGTATGATGCTTGGCGCTAATTTGTCCATTCCAAAATATATTTTATGCGTCATGATACCTGTTACACTTGGAAATATTATTGGCGGAGCATTTTTTGTTGGTTTTATATATTGGTACCTTTACATGTCGAAGAAAGCTGATGCTGGTGCTATGAATGGTACTATCTCAGCGATTGGTGATGATGGTCAAGTAGTGCATTAGGAAGAGAAATTAAGTCAATCTGAGAGAAGCTTCAATAATACTTTCTCATTTTAGTCTCATCCGAACTACTGAACGAAACCTTGCAAGATATCACAATTCTGTAAAACTATACGCCCCAAAATTCATTTATGAAATATAAATTCCTTCAGTTTCTTATGCTTGCTCTTTTTTTATATACGAATTATAAAGTTTATTCGTAATCAAAGCAACATTTGCATTCGTCTACTTTCCGATTCTTGAGATGTTTGACAATAAGGCAATCAACATAAGTTGCACGAATCTAATGCATTCATACACTTTTTTTCGGAAAGATAGAGGGTGAGGCTGTGGGTGACGTTGAAGAAAGTAAGTATACTCAACATTCACACGTCCACACCAACTTGAATACGTACACGAATAGAATTTTATATTTTCAACTAGCTTGTGGGTAAAAAGTCTTTCAACTAATAGTTTCTGTTGAACAGTATTTTTTATTCTTTTTTTTACTCAATAAAGAATGTAAAATCTCTATGAAGAATATCGAAGTCTTTTTCTCAGCAACATAAAATCGTATTGACTTCAACATTTTTTAAAGAAATGCTCCCGATTCCTACAAGAAACGGGACTAAAAATCCGAGAAAAAAATCGTTCCTGTAGGATACTATCCTTTGCTCAGCAAGAAAGTACTACAACTGCCAACAATGTCTGGGTGTCGAGTTATAATGCTTTTCGTTTCATGTACTTGATTTGCATGTCAGCTCTGATAAATTTGTTTACTTCCTTTGGTAGTAATATATCGTTTAATGACCCAAATGCGTCTTTTTATTTCTTCTAATGTCTGTCAACAACGTCAGAACTCGCTACACTATTTTTAAATCATGAAATCTAACGCGCAAAATAATATTGGCATAAATGCAGCTGTAACAAACCTCGCTATCGTAATTCTTTCGCTGATAATAATAGATTTACTTCCTTTGATTTTCTGTGCATTTCATTTCATGAGACATTTACGACTAATGTGATAAATATTTGTAATTGGTCCGCGAAAGTGAATCGATTGTAGAGTATAAAAAGCGTAGCTGATTGCAACCATTGTCATAAGCAAAACAATACGAAGAATGACTTCAACTTTTGTTTCTATAATCTTTTTCGTTTTGCTATGCTGTCAGTTGGACTGCTGCAACGGCAAAAAGGGTGTTACATTTGTCCGCGAGGCTCATTTACCAAAATTTGGTGTGTCCAAAGTAGGCTGTGGTTTTACGACTCTAGAGACTGCATCAACCTTCAGACACTGGTGTAACGCCTATTCAGGTGACATGGATTGCGAGACATTTCTACCCGTGTTGTGTACCAAAGTCAATAATTCACCAAGGCCTCCCTATCCGAACACGAACAAATATGATGATGGTTGGAATTTGGGACATTTAAGCACGAGCACACCTGTCAAAGGTTCTCAATTTGCCAACCGAGCTGCTGTCGATGCTTTCTGCGCTACTTCATTCGGGTAAATCTTGAGCAATCTGTTTGCTTTCATGCGTGCAGCCGACCATACTCAAATTTTCATGAATTCAAGGTCGAGACAATAATAGAGATATGCTAATGTCTGTTACGAATCCTGTTTTGTTCCTGAAAAACAAGATTTTCCAAGATTTTTTTGATTTAACTCAAAATTGGTTATAGGGAAGTGGATGGCATTTGAGAAATAGCATTAAGAAATTCTTTTTCCAGAAAAACTGTTTAGACTGTTTGTTTCTTGTGCAAACGAGTCTTCAATTCGCGTTCCACTAGAATTCGTACTTATTTTGTAGCTGATTGGTAAGCGAGAGTCAGAGTGAGATGAAGAAAGCCTTTTATGTATTTTAATTTTTTAGATCTGGATGGCGTGCGGCCACATTTCACGATGGCTTCTTCATTCTGAGAGCACCATATGTCGAAGCCTGGGCTGCTCAAATTGATTCCATGCTTCAAGCCCAGTGGCACTACCACTCGTATGCTGATATGCGCAACGACATTCGGTTTTGGATTCATATCCGTGATCAACCAGCTACATGTTGGAACAAATAGAACTCTTCTTATTTATTCTCTTTACTTTGTTCTTTTTGAATGCTACTTATATAAACAAGAGTCACTCATTAGCGTTGATCGATTATAAGGTACGCGATTGTACTGTTAATTTATGAGATGGCACTTGAAATTCATCAAGCATGTGTTTTATGCAGGTATGTAGTCAAAGCTAACACCTAAAACAACATTGATGAGACGAAACAATCAAGGGAAGATTATTCGACTGCACTCGGTTACAGTGAGAAGACACTTGGAATTGAATAGTAGTGTGTTCCACTCAACTATCTAGTTCTCTCAGCTAGTTAAAGTCATAGTGGCCTTGCTCATGGTTCTCTCGAAAATTACAGCATTGTGCTCTCGTATCTTGAGAAATCATCGACAGCTTCACAGGAAATTTCCTCTCTCTATCATGCATTTCTGCTGACCACGTATAATAATATTGGTCATGTGTATGAATCGATAAGAGACTACTTCTTCGCATTATCAGAATATAGGATGATATTAGAACCAGACACAGATCTCTAAAATCCAAACATAAATCGTTTCATATCATTTATTGTACTATGACAGAAGCCTGAAACTATTTCAACCGATACAAATAGGATATCGAACATTGTGCACGATGGGGTGTAACCGTATGATTGAAGACAACACCCACACTCTATGTACATTTAACTATTGCTACAAAAGTGGCTGTATTACTACTAATAGTAATACAAAGACTTTAGCAACACCAGAATACAATCAAGAAGATGATTTCTGAAAAAGAAATGAGTATGATGGTTCGAAGAATACATAGCCAATATAATATGGAAGTTATTCAAAATATTTCACCTTTACCATCAAATGAAGATGTTATTCAAGTTGAAGATCAATAGATCAACACTGAAAAACAATGAGCAATCTAATATAGTCGAAAAAATTTATTGTAAGACCCAATGAACAATCGATAAAGATTATATAGAAGTTGCTAACTTAGGAACAACTGGTGGAGAACGAGTTAGGTACAGGTTAGAGATCAATGAGGTTAAATGTTTTAGCTCCCATGGAAAAGAGAAAAATCTATAATTGATTGAATCAGAATGTTGTTCTAGACTGTTATTTCGTAGATTTTGAGCAGAAAAAGTACGGTTTGGGTAGAAAAGAGAATGACCTTATGAATCAATGTTTACCACCCACTTGAGTTATGTGAGTTTTAAATATTTTCGTCGACTTATCGTCGAAAAAATGAGCCCTAATCTCTATCGGGATTAAGCAAAAAGAGGATTGGATTGACGAGTAGTTTCACCAGTAAGGAAAAGCTCTACGGCTGTACAACCACATGAGAACAGAAAATACCATATTTCGAAAGCATAAGAATACCATTTTAACGAAATTTTGTCTTTCGACATAATCTTGAGAAAGATTAGTGGTGATTTTTTCAACGAAAATATTTAAAATTCTCATAAATCTAGTCAGTATTAATTACTGATTCATATGATACTTTTGGTTTTTATTCGAACTCTACTTTTTCTGATCGAAATCTACGAAATAACGATGGGAAATAGTCAAAATCATGTCTCGGAAACGATATTATTCACATGATTTCTTGTAGTCAATGTTTTTTCTTCGATGGCATCGTAACATTTTACAGCGCATAAAAGCCTCTATTAAAATATACGAACACTAGCTCGATCGACTAAAATAATGATAATTAAATAGACCTGATTATCGTTAAGAGTCAGATATGATATGTATAAAAGAATCATTTACTATTTCAAATGACCAGATTACAGCGTAAACAAACCTAATCGGGCCAATTCTATCAGTGATCAGTTTTTCATAGAAAAAAAGCGAATCTTTCGAGTAGTTCGATTTTATTCTTTATCTATCTCCTCTTGGCGTTACTAAAGTTATTATAATGATAGTGAATTTGATTGTTTATATCTATTCTCAATGCTTATCTTCAAGGATTTATCTAATATGTCACGTTGAATTGTCATCAGTGAAAATTAACTCAATTGAATCTGTTTTTGTAACATGAGCAAAATTTATGCAATGAAAATTCCGTATCAACAAAAATATACAGATCAAGCAGTCTGTTTGGGGCTATGCCACACACTGTCTGTCAAATCCGTTGGACAATGTATATTATGCACCAAAATGGATGGATATTCAGTACTGTCTGTCAGATTCGGTAGATAATTTATGCTGTGCACACATCCGGTACGTAATTTGTATTATTTGACGGATATGTCCGAAACTTACGCGCAGCAGAACATTTCGTACACACATAGTAAGAAAGTTTTTGCAGAGAGATGGAATAGTGGGGGACTCGCTGACACCATTCTTACCTCACATCGAGAGCCATGATCAAATCTCCGGTTTTTGCTCGATAACCCCATGGAAAATATCACCATTCGATACAGCATTTAATTTTGCATCTACCCCAATTTCATCAGCGAATATCACCAGAAAAAAAATTCGAATCTAATGCTAACTTTTCTTATGTCAGTATAATTACTTTTTCAGCATATGCTGCTTTTATTTATGCTTCATATATGATACAATCACGGAATGTATTAACGCACAGTATCGTACCTGGAAAACAAAAAATGTAGTTGAGAAAAATAATCCAAAGTATTTCATTTGATTTCAATACAATTGAGTGTTACTAATGCGATAAAATTGCTGCTATCATTTATATTTCCATATAGTATAGTCTTCCCAGAATCTATTTGAGTACTTAATGAAAACAGAAACAAATATGTTGTCTACAATGACTTCATCACTTTAGCTATATCTATCTAAGGATGTTTTCTGAATTTCCTATTGATAAAAGAAAGTCGAGATGAAAGAAATATAATGATTAACATAAATGAACATTAGATGCAACAATTGAAAATATATTTTAGACAGAAAGTATTTAAAATAAAAATGTTTTATTTTATTTATGTATGGTTCTAATTCACTCTTCA